TAAGTTAATAAACGTTATATCAATTTGTAAAAATACAATACAAACAAGACAAAACAGAGGTCTTGGTTGCCAGACCAGGGGTAATCATTAATTGTAATCATTGAATTTTTAATCAATTACATGATTACAATGTAATCATCATGTAATTGATTACCTTGTCCAAAATTGATTAATTTAATTGTAATTAATCAATTACAGCTAAAATTCAGTCATTATGATTACAATTTGATTGACATTGATTACTTTCAGATTTAACAGGAAACTATTTTAATTCAAAGGATGCCTTTATTTTATATGATACAGTTTACCCGTGTATTTACATTTATACATTAAAAGCCTTTAATTAAGACTACCATCTGGGCTGGACCAAAGTGGTCTTAATTGTGGGTGGTCTTAATTTTGAGTATTCTTATCATTGCTTACATACTTTATGACCATGGTCTTTTTTAGTCATTTTGTATGAAAAAACAGTATTATCTTAAGTCAAAAATATAATATAAAAGACACTTGATATCTGATGAGAGGAAAACATATTTTTGAAGAAATTTAACATTAAGTTTTCTTTGGTCAGATTTCAATATCAATTATTATGTGATGTACATAAATCACCTGTCAAATAAAAATTAATTCTTCACAAAATAAATTTGCTGAAAGCAGCATTAAACCACTTTAAAATTTAAACTTCTCACCTTATTTCATACAATAACTCAATAAATAAGTTTTTCACACCTTGTGAAATGAAGTGTCATGCAAAGCATTCAAGCAGACCATAACAACAAATTTAAGATCTAGATAGGTGTTGACTTTAATATCAGTCTTCTCAATAATTTGGTCAAATTAAAAATAAAGCAAAGAATTTGGACTGAATCAGGTGGTCTTGAAAATAGATTTATAAGCAGTTGTTCTTAACTCTAGATCATAAAACCACATAAAGAACCGTGTAAAAATAGTCTTATTATGGAGGTGGTCTCAATTCAGGGGTGGTCTCAAGTAGGGATTCTACTTCTTTACATTGAATGTAATCAATTATCAATCAATTACTCTCTTAAATGGTTGCTTCATATCCATGTCTACTATTATGCAAACATTTTCCATTAACATATACTGCAACAAGAGCACCACTAGGAGGAACACTATATGCCCGAAAGTGTTTTTTTTAGTAAGGATGAAGCATTTATAAGACATGGGAATTTAATAAAGTATCAATAGGGGTCTAATCTACACAGTATGGACAATCATCATATGAAGTTTGAATATTGTGGGCCAAATGAAACTTAAGTTATGCTCCGGAAACTGTTTGCAGTTTTAAGTTAATAGTGACCTTGACCTTTCACCTTGTGACCCCAAATTCAATAGGTGTCTTCTTCCTAATATGGACAATCATCCTATGAAGTTTGAATATTGTGGGACAAATGGAACTTAATTTATGCTCCTAAAACTGTTTTCAGTTTAAGGTAATAGTGACCTTTGACCTTGTGATCCCAAAATCAATAGGGGTTTTCTACCTAATATGAAAAATCCTCCTATGAAGTTTGAATATTGTGGGCAAAATGGAACTTAAGTTATGCTCCAGAAACTGTTTTCAGTTTTAAAGTAAAAGTGACCTTTAACCTTGTGACCCCAAAATCAACAGGGGTCTTCTACCTTATATGGACAAAACTCCTATGAAGTTTTAATATTGTGGGCAAAATGGAACTTAAGTTATGCTCAAGAAACAATTTTCAGTTTTTAAGTTACAGTGACCTTGACCTTAGACCTTGTGACCCCAAAATCAATATGGGTCTTCTTCCCAATATGGTCAATCATCCTATGAAGTTTGAATATTGTGGGCAAAATTGAACTTCGAGTAATGCTACAGAAACTGTTTTCAGTTTTAAGGTAATAGTGACCTTGACCTTTGACCTTGTGACCCCAAAATTTACAGGGGTCTTCAACCCAATATGGACAATCATACTCTGAAGTTTGAATATTGTGGGCAAAATGGATATTAAGTTATGCTCCGGCAACTGTTTGCAGTTTTAAGGTAATAATGACCTTAGACCTTGTGACCCCAAAATCAATAGGGGTCTTCTACCCAGTATGGACAATCATCCTATGAAGTATTAATATTGTGGGAGGAATGGAACTTAGGTTATGCTCCGGAAACCAAATTGCTAACGGAAGGACGGACAGACAGACGGACGGATGCCAGGGGGTATAACATAATGTGCCCGAAATTCTTTTAAAACAAGCAATTATCATAGTATTGCAAGCAATCCATAAGTCCCCTACCGGTTAGAACCCCAGCAACATTTTGATGGGCCATTGGCCATTTAATTTTACCACTGAATGAATGACATGAATGAACTTAAATCTTTTGAGTTCTAAGTTTGTCTATATCACAATAATGTGTTAAGTTTCCCTGCCTAGTAAGGAAATTATGTTTATACAACCTTGTCATATTTTTTTGATGTAGGATTTTAAAGTTAATCCTATAAGGAATGAAGAAGTTGGAGTAAAAAATACCAATTTCTCGAAAAAAATCTAAGTTCAAGGGGGACATAATTCTGGAAATAGTCTTGCTAGAGTATTTAACCTTCTCAAAAATGTTGAGTGATAATAAGAAACATATATATGAAGTTTGAAGTAGATACATTCTGTACATTATGAAATAAAGAAGTTATCTAAAAAAGACAACATTTTTTTTCATAAAAATTCTAAGTTCAAGGGAGGTAATACTGATAATTTTTGTGCTAGAGTTGTAAACCTTGTCACATATGATGTGGTTGATGACCAGAAACTTATATCTAAAGTTTGAAGTAAACACCTTAAGAAACAAAATACTTATAGTGAAAAAGCTGAAAAATTTAAATCAGAAATCTTGAAATTCAGGCTATTTGTTGCCATAGCAACCAGACATTTCAACATAGGAAGAAAAGAAAAAGATGTGTATAATCTCCAGACTGCAATCTACCCATATTTCAAGTTTCATAAAAATATTTTCAGTTCTTTTTGAGTTATCACTGGATCAACTTTATGTGTTAAATTTGTCATATTTTCAGACTATTTGTTGCCATAGCAACCAGAATTTTCAACACAGGAAGAAAAGAAAAAGACGTGCATAATCTCCATACTGCCATCTATCCATATATCAAGTTTCATAAAAATATTTTCAGTACTTTTTGCGTTATCGCGGGATCCAGTTTTGTGGACGGACGGACTGACGGACTGACAGACAGACAGACGGACGGACGGACAGACGGACGGAGGGTAAACCTAAAGTCCCCTCGGGTTAAACTGGTAGGGAGGTCAACAGTAGTACTCACACCACAGACCTCACTTATATTAAACAAACAACTTGACCCTCTACGCTATTGAGGATGTGATAACAAATTTCACATTTAATTCCCCTAAGTTACACTGGCAGAACCGAAATTTTAATTGAGTGCCATAATGTATTCATAACTGACAGGTCAGTAATGAATCAGACTATAGATAAAGTGATATTATATAAATATATGTATAACACACAGGTGGTCAAAAATAAAACAAAAGTTGTTAGTAACTTAGAAAAGGTAAGGTTTTCCCTTGTTAGCCCAAGGTACAAAGCACAAACACTCACAATGGTTATTATTAATGTATTTACCATGTTACTTTGTAACTGCATAACTTTGTATGTACCCCAGGATTAGATGGGAAAAACTCACATTTGCTAAGTTCCTTAGTATTCCTACTGTTAGCACTGGTGACTCACTTAAGAACCCTATCTACACCAATTTACACCTTTTTGAGAAGAACCACCAAAGGTGATCTGCAAAAATGGCATGGCTGGGGACAATGAGAATGGGGATGTTGGGATTAAATCTTTGAACCATTAAGAGCTATCACTGGGAACCTGTTCTTACTTTTAACTTGTTACCAATAAATTAAAAGTATATGAATAAGAGCAGCTTCTGGTTTGTGACAATATAATAGCCAAAATAAGTCAATATTAACCAATTCATTGGGGTTTTTATTTTAGTTTGTCTATTTGGGGTATTTTTATTTTAAGACACACTGACACACTTATAATATCAGATGACTTTCAAGCTGGTGAAAGAAGACCAAATGTGCGCCTCGGTGCATTTTTTCAGGAACGAGTATACACCTGAGTAGAACAAACACATTCTGTAAGCTTAGCTTAGCTGAAAAGCTTCCTCCCATGAAAGAATTCAAAAGACCCGGGTGAGATTTAAACCCACCACCATGTAGAACCAAGTGGTTTGAAATCAATGAGACTATGGGTTTTAATCTTCAACATTATCCCAGAGTAATTTCAATAAAGCATGACATATATTCAAGTGAAAAGTAGTAATAAACTTGAAAAAAAATCTCATTAGAAAAGTGATCAACATTTCTTACATCTAGTTCAAAATATATTAACATCCAACATATAAAGTTATGGAAAATAGAAACTAAAGGCTGGTCTTAAAAACTCCTTGACATGTAAAGTGTAAAATTGAATGTGATCATTTATACATTAAACTTTTTTATCAATTTTTGTAAAGTTAACTCCTTTTTTTTAAATTTGTATGCTCATCTGAATGGGTGCACTTTTAAGTTCATTCTAATGTTTACTGTTGAAATCCCCAAAATAAGCCAAGATTCAAACTTAAAACAAGAACTTTTAAGAAGAAGAAGCTATAAATCATTTGAACATCTTAAAATGGCTTATGCAGAATAACTATATACCAAGTTTGATGAAGTTTCATTCATACACTTACAAACAGGTATCTTACAATGGAATTTGTTTTGCTAAGGTGTAATCTAAAAGAAAATGACTCTGCCAAATCTTTTTCTGAACAAAATTTGTAGAACTAAAGTCCATTCCAGGATGTTTCATACTTATTTATTGGTTTAATTTAGCATAAACTTCAAAATGGAAAGGCAAAACAATAACAACCAGATCAACACATCTTATTTGGCTATGCTTGGCAACTAACAGCATTCTACAATATCTGAAATCTAGATAAAGTCATTACCATTTGTACATCAACAGCCCTGCATGGGTCGAACACATCCTCTTCTAACAAAGTGACAATCTTTGACTTTACGTATTTCACATCTATTTCACTCTTCAGTTTAACTGGAATTTTTACATCACATCTGCCCCACTCGCATAACGTCTTTATCGCCTCAAGTCGTAACAGCTGATTGTCTGTTAACAAGCTCGGAGAACATAAACTCTGACATACTGTAATAATACAGACACACGATACATTATTGTTGCCAATTTTTTATGCAAAAGATCCTACAATTTAAGTATTTTTTTAATCATTTCGGGAAAATTCTTGGGACATCAATATACATGTAGGAGAAATAAGTGAAATATGTTTCTATTATCATATTCTAAGAACATGCAAATTTATTTTAATTCCACAACAGTTGTTTTGTTTTTTTCTGCCTACATCTCTTTCTGAAACTGGTGTGAAAGAATGTTTGAACTAAATCCAAAATGACTACTTTAATATATAATGAAAAAAAAAAAACAAAAAAAAAAACAATATTTAATTAAAATCATTAGGCGGCAACTTTTAAATGAATTATCCTTGAATTTTATCTCACACATTACTGGTCATTTCTGCACATAATAAGCACTTTATACAAAAACATGAAAACATGAACATCATGTCATAACTAATGGAAACATAAAGAAATTGCAGATAAAGATGAATCCCCTTATTTTTAAAAATAAGAAAACTATAAATTAGCTTTGCCAAAACAACTACCTTCATTTGTTGTAGTAACATCATCAGAATCCTGACTGTCTGGTCCATCATTAAAGTCCAGATCATCTACTTCCATTGCATTATTGTTGTTAGACTGGTCCTCAAAATCTAAATCAAAATCATCATCAAAGTCATCTAGAAGCTTGCTGGCTCCTCTATTAAATCTAGACTGGTTTAAACTAGAGTCTGCACTAGTGCTACTAGCCTGTCTGTTGGTACAGTGCTGCAAAAAGATGAATGTTTGCTTTCAGAATTCATTATTTTGAATACAATTATCCTTGCAGAGCATGAAGATAGTATTCAAAATGCAAAACTAGATTTCCTACTTTATACCCTTGCAAAATTTCTTTCTGATGAAGCTAACAATTAAAGAGGGCAATCAGCAGCAAAATAATGGTGGAAGGACCAATTGCAGAATTTATGTTAAAATACTGTAAAATTGAAATATTCTTCCAACAACAAAAAACAGCAAAAATTACCTTTTCATTTGCAATGTCTAAGAGGACAGTAACTAGTGCTGATGGTGTAGCAGACCTACATACTGCAGACATTATCCTACGACACTCCTCCATACCTCCGATACTCTCCAACAAACTTTCTTCGTCCCAACAAAACAAGTTCCGTAACTCCTTCACAATCAAAAACAAATTTGAGTATCCATCTTTCTTGATAATTTCTTGAAGTGAGTTTGAAACTTTTTTCAAAACTCGGACTAAACTTTCATACAGACTACATGTAACTATAGTTTGTGGTGTAAGAATCTGGTTGCCTAGCAACAGTGACAAGAGCCTGCAAACCAGCCTTAAAAATTTCACACTTTCTTCTATGTCTGATACCTGAAATATAAATTGTTTTTATTTCAAAACTATTTGATAATAATGGATCTAAGATATGCTATTTTTATATTACTCTCCAAACCCACCCCCACCTAAAAAAAATGTAAAAAAAAATTAAATAAATTTCCATCATCAAAATACTGTAAAACAATTTATTTTTCGCGAGAACCTTATTTCGCGAATTTGAGGCAAAATGTCCAAAATAATTATTTCGCGTCAACATGAATTCCCCTCTTCCCGAAAAATGTGAAACCGGAAACCAGATGTCATTCGGATATTTTCTGTCCTGTCCGTTCACTAACTTTGCGTCCTTTATTGTGCAACGGATGCATTTATAACTATATCAATTTTTCTAATAGCTTGCTAATCTTCTTGTTAAGTGAAACTGTCTGTCTAATAATGTGTCAATAAAGTTTGATAATTATTTGATATGTGTTCACTGTGTTTGTCATGTATTACTGATTAGCCATTCAAAGGCAAGCAGACGAAAATCAACTACACGGTACTGAAATTTGTTTAACCTGTAGTAAACGATTATGTTTACCCTCCGGCTTAAACTGTAGTACAATACAATAAGATACAATAAATAGATATGTTACAAACAACTCGCAGGTGCTTAATTATTTGTACCAAATACCGAAACAGTTATTCTGAAAATCGTATTTTCTGTTGTTGTTTTTTTTTTCATACTAGTAATATGTACGATATGTGTATGCTGCAACACTTGAATAGCTACATGATGTACTAGAACTGGTTTCGATACTTTCCCGCAGATATATATCCATGTGTACGCATTTTCGGATTGTGTTCATTTTCGGACAAGTGTATAGACAAAGTGAAATATTCGCGAGAAATATGAATTCGCGTCTTAGAAAACTCGCGAATATTAGCGAAAATAAATTTCTCGCGAATAATAAGTGTTTTACAGTAATGAAATTAAGCTAATAATCATTTATCATATGGCTTATGTACAAGAATCACAAGTGGCACATTCTTAAACAAAAACATATTAACATAATTTTTCTTCAATGACACTTTGTTCTATATGGTTTGATATACTCAAATCTGTAAGCATGCCATACAGCCAGGTGTATACCTAATTATAATAAGTACATGTATTTCTGTAGTCTGAACCAATATCGAACTTTATCTTTAATATCTTTTTAAAAAAATCGACATACTTCGCCATGAATTGAACAGTTTAATCAATAACTAAAAATAAATTGCTTTAAACATTATATTTTCGACTGGACTGTCATATAGGGAAAAGATGCAACAAGTACCCAAATAAGCTTTGAGACATCTGAGATCCGACTCTGTTGTTGTATTGAGTTTTTTTTACTCCATTTTACACTTAATAAATTTAAAACATTGCACTGTAAACCTCTGCATAAAAACCACAACTTGTGAGGCAAAAATTTTAGTTGTTGCTTAGAGGTGTCGATATGAGAGGTTAAATTTAAGAAATAATATATCCCATCATGCGATAATTTTCTGATTTGGATATATTATATTATTTCGATTCTAACATAAAATCAACAAATATTATGCTGCCATACCTGATATTAAGCTAAATTGCACCTGATTTGTTTTGGTTCTTATTTTCAGCATGTTACATTTTCAGTGGTTACGTCACTTGTCTTATGGTTATGTCACATGTCTTAATATAGGATGTCAACAATGATTTTATTGCATAATAACACTCACATTCAGTCCTTCTATGTGCAATAGGGAAAAATGCGGGTCGTGTTAGAATAAGTCGTAAATCACTATCAGGAAAGAATTGGTTCTGCTCTTGTATAAAGGAGTATACTGGAGAATATTACCAACTAACCTGTTCTTCAGCTCGTGAAGTATAGAACTGCACTTCTGATTTTACCAAATTTTCAACCATCAACAGCACTGTTGGTATATGAACTGAGTCAATGTTTTCTATTTTCTTTCCTTTTTTAAACAATACTTCTTCCACCTCTAGCGGCATCTCAATGGCAGTCTCTAGGTAACATCTCTCCAATGGACTCATTAAAATTTGTTCATTTTTGCACCCAGTCAACCTAACAGTGAGATTTCTCAAGGTCAATGTCATTAATGCATGAGCTGTCCAATTAGGATTCAGCTTACAATGTGACCTTGACCCTTCAGTTTCATCATCTCTTGAAGGCAGCAACCATTGAAGAAGCTGTTTTCTAAGAGGAAATTTAACGTCCGCTGAAGCAGACGCAATGGTGACTGCTAAATTTGGCACATAATTTTCAGGAAAATCACAGTATTCTAAACACTGGCATAGAAATATTACAGATTCAGTGATGGGACGTGTTAATGATGGCATAAAGATGGACCAGATATCCTTCCTCGGTGTAACCAGGCGTGCCTCAATCATGGCAGAAAGCAAAACATATCCCTCTGGTTCAGCATTATGTAGACTCACAAACCTGAAATTCAACATGGAGAACAAAATTAAACTGCTGATCAAAGAAATAAAGTTCACATACTTGTATCAAAACATACTGCCAATCCTGAGATCAGAAAATTCAAATTAAGATGTAATACAAATATTTCAACTTTTCTTCTTTTCAAATCATTGTCTGATAATCTATATGCTTTATTGTTCAGATTTATTCTATACGGACTACAAGAAAACTATGACACATCAAAAAATTTGACACAAAAAATTTCCACTCATGTAACTCCATTTCACTCACTCCACAACAATCAAAAGCTAATAATCTTTGAAACATGACATTGCCATGAAAACATTTTTTTTTTTTTTTAGTAACAGTGGCCTTGACCCTAGGGGCTCCAAAAGCAATCCCAAGTGCGGTCTCCACATAAGCTTGTTATATTCCAAGTTTGATAACAATATATCACCCCTATCTCAACTTATCAATCAGGCATTGAAAATTATTTTCAGAGTCACTTGTTGTGCTGGACGAGTAGCTTCTAAATTAAATATGCAGGCAACAATTTTCTACTCGTCCAGCATCAAATTCTCTTAAATTCTACTTGTAATTATGAGTGGACAAGAGGAACTTTTAATCTCTGTCAACAAGATACCAACTTTGATGCTCACCAGCACACCCGCCATTTGCCAATCATATATCCAGGATTTTCAAAATTGAGAACCTGATTAAAAACCAGTCACTAAATGCAAACCTTCTATTTATAATTCATAGATTAATGACCAAGCCAGGAAATATCTTTTTTAATGATTAAAGTAACTTGGTATCAAATTTACCTCAAAGTAACCATCCATATTTGATTCCATGTAGATTTTGCTTGCTCTATCAGCGTATCTGTTTCCATGGCAACAATTGTATCCCAGCTGACGACAAATGACTTAATACACCTCATTATGTATACCATCAGATCTGTCCTGATAAAATGCAAAATACATGAAAATAATTTGATGCATCAATAAAATTATATTACAGGAAAATAAGTTAGTATTTCAATATAATATTATTTCAGAGATGAAATGTAGAATCAGTGCTTATTTTCATGCAATTAACACTGTCTAATACCAAAGCAAGAACTTCAGTATCACACCAACACATGAAGGAATGAGATAAATTTTACAGTACATTTTACTAAAATGTTGAAACAGTAAACACCACAGTAACAATTTTATCAAGTTTAATGGATCTTTGATTGTATATCTTGCCTGTTTTTAAATCTTCATCAAATAAACCATTTGAGGTTGTGGTTAAACAAAAATGGTTTTACTCCCCAAATTAAACCAAATTATCATGTGATAAACGTGTGCCACACATAGGACTTGTATTCACATATCTTTACTAAGACAATCAGGGGCGTTAATAATTTTTGTCGATAAAAAAGAACATCTAATAACAATGTAATGCCCTTTATCACCTGTGTTACATTTTAATAAGCCAGATTGCTTTGTTTTAATAACTCCAAATATATTGCTTTCAGAATTATTCCCCTTGTCTTACAACTGCACCTTGTCATGATAAGCAAATATTCCAAGTTTTATGTTTATATGTTTCAGTAAATATTTTGAATAATGGGCTATATTAAAGTCTTTGCACAACGACCATAATAGCTTGAATTTATCTTCGAAACAGAAGCAAAAAAATACGCTACCAAAAGTAGAGAGCCTGGTTAGGTTGCATGGCTGTACAGGACAGTTTAGCTCTGTACTGGTAGAAAACACCGATCACTTTTGGTAATACAAACCTTTTACAGTCTGAGAGTGCATGTGACAGGCATAACAAATATGGTATAACCTCATCTCTTGGAATACTATCAGTATACTTTGATACAAGGCCTGTAACAAGCTGTAACCTAAAATAACATAAAACCTGTCATATTTATATCTCCTAACAATAATTATAAAGATAAATTAACTTACAATTAAACATGATCATACTTACCAGTAATATTCTCAAAATAACACTCTTGTGACTGTATTATTTCTAAACATTTTTTTATAAATTAATGCATAAATAAACATTTCTTATAATATCAGAAATTTTTAATAATGAATTTTAATTACAAAAACATCAATGCAACATTTTTTTAATTAATGGTATGAAATAACAACATTGGCATTTTTGCAACACAGCCTTACTAAGCTCACACCCATTCACCTAGAGGGCATCTACAACTATCAACTGCTGCTGTTGCCATGCTACATTTGTGTTAATCATTCACAGCTGCTTTCAATGAAGAACAACCAAAATGCTGTGCTGGAAAGATCAGTCATATTGCGAGTTAATGTCTTAATTTTAATTCACCAGCTATATTAAAATTGAAATTTTTATTATTTGACAAACAATTTCCCTGTGTTATGATTGGTCGCGACACAGTCACATGATTTTATTATTTGACTAACAATTTCCCTGTGTATTATGATTAGTCAAGACACAGTCACATGATTTTATTATTTGACTAAGAATTTCCCTGTGTTATGATTGGTCTAGATACAGTCACATGATTATATTATTTGACTAACGATTTCCTTGTGTTATAATTGGTCGAGACACAGTCACATGATTTTATTATTTGACTAACAATTTCCCTGTGTATTATGATAAGTCAAGACACAGTCACATGATTTTATTATTTGACTAACAATTTCCCTGTGTATTATGATTAGTCAAGACACAGTCACATGATTATATTATTTGACTAACAATTTCCCTGTGTATTATGATAAGTCAAGACACAGTCACATGATTTTATTATTTTACTAACAATTTCCCTGTGTTATGATTGGTCAAGACACAGTCACATGATTATATTATTTGACTAACAATTTCCCTGTGTATTATGATAAGTCAAGACACAGTCACATGATTTTATTATTTTACTAACAATTTCCTTGTGTTATGATTGGTCAAGACACAGTAACATGATTTTATTATCTGACTAACAATTTCCCTGTGTTATGATTGGTTGAGACACAGTCACATGATTTTATTATTTGACTAACAATTTCCCTGTGTTATGATTGGTCGAGACACTGTCACATGATTTTATTATTTGACTAACAATTTCCCTGTGTATTATGATTAGTCAAGACACAGTCACGATTTTATTATTTGACTAACAATTTCCCTGTGTTATAATTGGTCGAGACACAGTCACATGATTTTATTATTTTACTAACAATTTCCCTGTGTTATGATTGGTCAAGACACAGTAACATGATTTTATTATTTGACTATTAATTTCCCTATGTTATGATTGGTTGAAACACAGTCACATAATTTTATCATTTGACTAACAATTTCCATGTGTTATGATTGGTTGAGACACAGTCACTTGAATGTAGTATTCATGTAAACGAATCAACCTTATGAACAGTGATGCCAAATTTAACCATTTATTATTAGAAACCAAAGGCTTTACTGAATTCAGGGTACTATCCAACTTATTTAAAACATAGTTTCGTTAAATACTAGTAAACATTCAAGGTAAATTTTGAATTTTGTCATAATACAACAGAACAGATTCTATTATTAAATATGACTTGAACATAACAGTTCCTTATCATTACACAATATACAGCATATATTAAATACAGTGAGAGTGTTGTCAAAACACAATAATCATGACAGGAAATGGTGTGATATTCACCTCATCACCATATATAATTATAGATCATTAAGAAATGATCACACAGACAGAGACAGAACAAATATAATTAACTTCTTTAAAAGTGGGAGGTGATGCAAACTTTATATATACATGCATGCCTGCATATATTATACATGTGATCTGATTCTTTACTGTTTACTGCTTAATGGCCATTTATCATCATAATATTAAAATCCTATAATATAAGACCAGCTTCTATACTGTAGGCTGTTAAATCTTATACTTAATCATAAATCAACAGACCAAATGTTCTAAATTCAAAGGGATTAAAGTCTTTTACACACATGATTTGGAAACTCTATTTACCAAGGAACCATTTTAGGGGTCTGTCCTGCAGAAATGATAAAGTTCCTAATGGAATCCCAGCCAGATTCCAATCTTCGTTTCTTAGCACTCGGTCCTGTTTGCCCGTCACTGCCAGTACAGGAGATCTGGGTGACTTCAATCATGTGTGAACTTTCAGAAAAAATCTGAAAACATCAGCACAACGTCATGATAAATTTGCATTATATTTAATAACAATTATCAGGGAAAAAAACCTTTGTAATTTAATGTGCCATTTTTCTGTTAAAAGAAATTTTTATGTTTACATATAAAAGATTCATCCAACAGTGGTCACAAAAGAATTAATAATGCCAGAGCAGTATGGAGATTTTATTTCAGATTATAACACATGTATAAATGAAGAAATGGATCCCATATAAAGCAATTTCTTGAGTCTGAAATTCATTTTTTTTCACTGTTCAATGGGTACAGATTCTGAATATCCCTCTATGAATTATTTCATACCATAAATGAATTACCATATAAGGTAATTCAAAATTAGAGACATATTATTTAATCACATTATCATATTTTTTAACTCATATTTGATATATCACACTCAGATACACATGAATTATTAATTATCTGATAAATTTATGATCGTTTCTGTGTGAACCCCTCACTACATTTGGTTAAAAATATTTAAAATGCCGTTTGGTAATTTGTGGCAAGACAAACTGAGGCAATAAACTGCTTCAAAAATTTAATCAATCAATACCTGTTGACAAACATCTACTGCTAAATCTACAAATGCTAACTTCAACTCCTGTATTTTCCCCCTAAAATATAAGTAAAACATTCAAATTTCATGGCAAATTATATCAAATATTGATGGATTTCAAATGTTCAAAAGTTCACACTATTCTTCATATTGGGAAATAAAGGAAACTAATGAATTTTGATGTCAGTTGTTCCCTAAAATTGTAAAATGTTCTAATAGTTATTTTAACACAACCTGCATTTTTCCCTGTTGAACATAGAAGGACTGAAAGTGTATGTAAATATGCAATCAAATCACCGTTGACAACCTTTTTTTTAAACATGGGACTGGCCATTAAAAATGTGACACTCTGAAAATAAGTACAGAAACGAATCAAGCACAAATTTTCGTGCATATCAGACTGGCGTTTCTGTTAGTTTTACCCATGCCGGAAAAGTTCATCATGCTTAGGATGACTATGAAGTTGGATTTCATACATTGTTGTAAGAAAATAGTTACGGGTGTAATGACATAAATTTCCATGGAAAATTGTTTTATTAAGCTAATGTTTAAAATATAATGGAATATGGTAGAGTATGAAAAAAAAATATCTGACATATGTTTGCTGTTCGGATCGGAATATCTGAACCGCAACATATGACAGATATTATTAATCTTGATATCAGGAACATACCATACAACTGCATTGTTTTTGTTGATGGGTTGTGAGAATTGAATTAATATATCCCAAGCAGTGATATTATTGCTTAATTAAATCACTGTTTGTCCTTTGGATGCGTAACATAATTACCTATTTCTTGAAGGTCCCATTTGCTGAATCTCTGAATACATCAATTCATACAACTTCTTGAGATTACTCTGAAATTATTCAACAATCTCAAAATTATATGCTACAGGAGAAAACTTATATCAGCCAGCAAAAATACAAAAATTTATCATATACCTGTAAATATTTGTCTACATTTAATTCAAGTATCAAATGCACAAATACAACCAAAGGTAATAAAATCTTTATAACTTGAGTGTGAAATCTAATGATATTGCTGGCATTGTGCCATTTATGTATATCAATGTATATTATTGTTGAATGTATAGTTTGAAATGTATTGTATTATTTGTATTTGGCTCTAATGGATTTTAATAGCTAAGAACAGATCAAACTGCGCTACCACACCTCCTCAGATCCTATTCAAGTAAAATCTACTCAAGTGCAAAATACAAGTTCAAGATATGCTTGTGACTGTTTGAAAACTACTCTACGTATCTTTTTGGTTGAGTTTTATGTCTTTTATGTTGCACCAACAAAGTATAGGTCACATGGGAACTTTCCAGCTTTTTTTAGATGAGGAAGTTGTAAGGTGCTCCTCTGTATGTTATTTCAGGCAACAACGGCAGCTGAGTAGAACCACCAATGTTTCGTAAGCTAGCTGGATAGCTAAAAAATATGACTTATGAGCTTACTGGCTTTTCAACTTGAAACATTCCCTGATTTATCATATAGAAGTAGATTTCAGAATGTTTATAACTTTGACTATATATCAAGTTTTCCGCACAAAGGAATTTGAAGTACAGTAAAGTTATAAAAGTGACATTATGCCAATCCATGGGTATATAGGTAATGAACAGGTGAAAGTCAAAATAAGTTTACATTTTACCATAATTCCTTTCAATTTTATAATTTACTTCACATGAATGATAAATTACTCTAATGGCCGTAGGAAATTTATGTAAATATCCATCAGAATTTACCTGTAATGTTTTATTTATAAAAAGAGTGGGACAGTCTTATTATAGTTTTGGCAGATTTATATCTTAAACATTTTACAATTTCAACAGTTAGTCACTCACCATTATAAAAGTCAATTGTTTGAAATATATATTCAATCCAGCTTAACTTAACTATGAAAAGAAAAGAGCATAATGTCACTTTAAGCTTGTACAGTAGTACATAAAGCATTTTTTCTTTTTTTTTTTCTTTTGTAGTTATAATAATACTTTAAATGGTGTATTATACTGATATTCACTGACCATCCATTTGTCCCAGTCAACAGCGTAAGCTCCAGGCGAGCCATTCTTCAGGCCGTTAGGGTGATGACACCACATCTGTGTCTGCAAAAACTTCAACAACTCATCCTGCAAATTTAACACATATTCACAATAAGTGGAAATAATCCTGTTACATATCTTATAATAAAAGTCTTGGGTTTGGACTACAACTATTGTGTCACAAAAAATATGAACATTACTATGCATAAAAAGACCAAGTCTGCGACTATGCAAGTATATCTTGTTGCCATTACAGATCAACAATATCTCTTAATATTCTCATAAACAGTATAGAATGTAAGTTTACTGCAGGAAGTAAGTACTTAGTATACGCTACTGCCATTCTTGAACTAGATCCTTACACTATATAGGTAAAATGACAACCTTCAAAACAAAACATCTTTATTTTAAATGTAATATCATTTCGTGTGCATGACTAAAATTCATGCTTTTAAGGATTCGAGTCATAAGAATATCTTCAACACAAAAACGTTAAACACTCACACAAACAATTTCTGAATCAAAATAAAAACAATGCCACACGTCCTTAAAGCTATATCTCATGAATTTTTTTTATAAAATTGAAAAATGATATCATAGCATTGTGAATTCAGAAGATTTGTAAAATATAAGTCTCTATTGTATTTCATACATAAAATAATTAGTTAGACCAAAAATATCAATTAATTAATCCAACACCCCCATTATTTTATATAGTTTATATATACTTTATCATAACAAAGCTGGCATTTGGGTAGAATCACTATCCTAGAGTAAGTTATTGAATAGCTTCTCCAAATGTAAGATTTTATTTCTACAGCCGGATTCAAACCAACATTGGATGAAAAGATGATTCATGGTAAACTATCACAACCATTTACATATGGAGGCCCCAAATTTTGGCCTAGAAACTTTCTATGAGAACAATTATACCTTTAACTCCTCTGATGCGACATTATGCCATAGGTATGGCAATTTTGGTACAATCTCTTCTCCCAGCTTACACACTTGAACTCGTGATGTTGGCCCTATGCTCTCTATGAACACATTTAAAGCTGACAGCATATGTTGTAACAACAATGAAGATTTCTGATATCTGTTAAATAATTAAAATACTTGAACAAATGTCCTACTTTTAAGTACATAGCTAAGTCAAAAAGTTATTGTTGCTTACAGCTTTCACCTACTATTATGTCATTGATAGCTAGCTGGTACAATATTACAACAATTACAAGCAATTTTTATAACATCAAAATGACTTCAAAGAATTTAATTTAATTCATCATGATCAAAGTTTGGTTTTAAAAACTCCTATAGAGATCATTTAAAGAATACTGTAGGTATTAGAATCGAATATTCATAAATCGAAAGGGTAATAATCTAAATCTGTTTTAAGGTATGAGCCCCCTAATGGGCACTATAAGGAACTATAAAATTGACAACATAGGTCAGTTATATACTTTAAAAGACACAAGAATGCAAAATTTAAACAAAGTTTACCGTATGGTTTACGAGTTATGGAGATTTTTCTTAAAGAAAGGCTCTTTTTCAGAAATGAGTAACTCGAAATATTCTATTTTATAATCATTATGAAAAAATGTTTTCCTATAAAACATTTTTAAGAAACAAATAATAGCATTCAGCTAACAAATGACCCAGCAAAATTATGGTTTCTACTCAAAATGTTTGAAATATGTATATACTGCAGCCCTTCAGTATCACGATCATAAATCTTATAAAAATAATAACAATTATCAGATATAGCTTCTTTTCAATTAAAACAAATCAAATATGAAAAGATTGATATATGATTATCCTATATCATAATACTTACTTAGCTCTGGAAAAGAATTCTGTGAAGAAAGCTAGAATTTTCTTTGGTCTGACATCACATTGTGAAGTTACTCCATTGATTAGAGAATGAATAATCTGTGACAATACAAGCTTGTCTATCTTCACATCTGCTTCATTAAAAAGCTTGAAAAACATAAACAGAAGCTCTGAAATTGAGAGGAGAAAATATATTTTAGTCAAACTCATGGAATTTATTTCCTTTTTGTGTTCACTTACATATTCACAGTTACAGTTATATAATGCCATGGTGACCTTCCAACTTTGCTATACTATTGAGCAGAAACTTAACTTGTCCCATTGTGATTTATTTTCCTGACAATTGATCTCCCTCGGCTAATTCAAATCATTTCATAAAAGCAGTCGGACACTTGCAGAGATTATGTGGCTGTAGAGATATGACAAAATTGGCATTAAAACCAAAACCAACAAACAAACTCTGCTTCATTTTAAACATTTATATACAATAGTAAACTATCATTAATTTCTAAATACTGAACAATATAAACAAAGAATCTATTCTTAACTAATCTTTACACTGCTGCCTTAAAATTAAGCCTGTTATTTCTGAACCATTATATTCTTTTTTTATTCTGGTATAAAGCAATGTTTGTTTAAGAAATAGATGTCAATTTTGAGTGCATTATTGTAGAATAAAAGATGTTTTGAGTTCAAAAGTAGAAGTAACTTTCATGATCTTACTAACATCATATCTGATCTTAAATTTGTTGTTTTAAATTGCTTACAAAATATATAGGAAGAACACATTTATAGTCTATGTATTTAACCCTCGGGTAGGGCCACCATTAAAAGTTGTCTCAGTCAGGCTATAGTATTCTGAAATCTATATGTATATTATCCTCTGGTAACTAACCTTCCGGTAAAATAACCCTCTGGTAGGGCCATTTATAGTTGTATCAGTGAGGCTATATTCTCCAATATATCATGTCAGCAATTAACAAGTTGTAGTATTTAATTTATTTTAACTTTTGCCAAAGATGATTTTAATGTACAAAAAATATCATTTCACTTTGAGATATATCAAATATGCACAACCACACTAAACTTATATATTACACAATTTGTACAAAAGCAATCATCAAATAAAAATAATATAGATAACAAGCTTATTTACCATGCCATTCTTTCGTGTTTAATTCCACCATATATTTCCTGACTGACAAGACATTCTTCAGTAGTATACTACAGTAATCTTGCCCGTATGAGTCAAGTGTATATTCCTCATGTAAAATCTTTCGTATATGATCAAATAACAGACTACCCTTTAACTTTGGGCTTCCTACAACACAACATAACACAAGTTTATTATAAGAAATGGATTTAACTCATTACAGGACTGAAGCAGTACCTCCATACACTTGCAGAAATCATGATCACAAAATATACAAATATCATTTTATTCGACGATTCTTACATTTTTCATTCATTATCATTATCATATATAAATCGGTGTGAAAAGATGAAGTAGACCTTTAAAGTTTAATCTGTTGGGTGAAAAGACAAGATTTTAGCATTTAATCATTCAAGCGACTTGTCCGGTATATACCAGAATATGGTATATAGTATGGTGCTCCAATCCTTTTTTAGTCTCACTCATAAGAAATATAGATCTGTGTTTAATGAAGTGAATAAATAGACAGATTCATGAACAGATGAGTAGTGATGTTCCGATTGTCGCAAGTCGCCGATTATCACTTACTGTTATGTAAAACGACAATAATCGATTCACAAAAGTTTGTTCCGCGACGTCGTCAAAATGTTTTAATTATCAAAGGGAATTTAATTCTCACGGTAATTTTCCTTTAGGAACACCTCACGGATCGCAAAAAATCACTCAGAGACAATTTGGAGTTGAACAGGATCAATAAGTGATGTAAAACAAAAGAAATATAATGTGATGAAAATGGTATTATTTGATATCCATTGAAAAATAAAATCTATTTCGTAAAATTATGACTATATAAGGTTAAAACTGTGTTGAAAAGTGCTAAATGAAGTTCATGTTATTAAATATAATCAAGTGCCTTGGTAAGAAATGTAACTTCCCTATTATTTTTTAACGCGACTTTATTCGAAAGTTATCGATTATGTCCCATCCGACTGAACCGATTATCGATTGGGACAAATTTCATCCGATTTCCATCACTACAGATGAGCATGCAGAGTGGACCATAATATTCTTCTGTCGTATCATTTGTGACTTATCATAAGTAGGGCTGTCATTGAATATCGCAATATCAATATATCATCGATATTCATTATCCGATACAATATTGATACACACTTTCAAATATCGATACAAGCTAAAAATAAAAATAAAATTATTTCTGTAAGTGAATATACCTCTTTTTCCAGTTTGCTTGGCTACCTTGAATTTTAAACTCCGTTTTCAAATGTCAGTGACAAAAAAAAACAGAAAAAAACAAACTTTCTGTTAGTTTGTAGTATTTGTAATAACATGATCCCAATTATAACACATATTTAAATGTTTTTCATTGTATTTACTGTCAAAGTCTATACATCATCGATATCCCTCGATATATTGATACAAAATTTCCATCAATGACAGCCCTGAATTCATAAGAAATAGTAATTCAACCTGCTGAACATCTTAAATGGACTTGTCTATCTTTCATTGTCCAACCCTACAAAACTATACTCATCATTTTTAGGAAAATTTTTCGAAAGTTGAACTGAATGAATAATGATCAGTGCAGACCATGATGAGATGGCAAGGATGCGTCGGCTGATTATGGTCTTTACTAGTTGCTATGATAAATTTGGATAAAGCTGGGGCCACGTTTGACTTTATCGAAAGATTTTGTAAATGGAGTAAAACGGCGATAATCTTGATGTTTATTTCGGCTGTTGCGTTGTTTATATTACCGTTGAAATTTAAAATTGACCATCATCGTGAAGAATTATATCTTCTGTGTCGATGGACCAAAGGATTATGTGAAAATATTGGAAACGGAATAAATTACATGGTGATGTTGACGGTAGGTGTGTGGATTTTTTCCGGCGAACATTTTTATCTTGTGTATTATTATAGACATTGAAATATGAAATTTTTTCAAAACAGCTTATATTAAGTTTTTTTGATATATATGATCATTACATGTGCTTGGATTGACAAATATATATTTTAATTGGATTTTAAAGTCATTTTAAGCTCCACACCCCAAGTGTCTGTGAACAAAACAACATGTTTAAAGCTCTAAAAAATCTATTTTCATAACATATGCTTGCTATGTAACTGGATTACATGTATTGCTGGCAGTAAATATATAAAATTTCTAACCTTTGTCAGCAAGCCTAATCACATGTTTCACAAGTGCACTTATTTCTTGTTTTCTGGACTCTCTGTTGCTGAGTGTTGTACGCGAGACTTCCTGGTTGGCATTCTGAAGCTCTTCTGTTTCCATGGTAACATAAATACTCACAGACTGGAATTATTCAAGATGATAACAAAACAGAACTTCTTGTGTGCAAAAACATTTTAAACACTTCATTGTTCAAAAAAATAAAATGTTTTGATTAAAAAATTGCAGACTATGATGGCAGTTTGAGATTTAAGAAAAGAATAGCGAGTAATGGTGCTTGTACTGACTCATCCACTCATACGTAAAAAAAATTAAGATAAAAATAATAATAACAAGGGTGCCATAGTCACAAAATACGCCCGTTTACGAAAGCTTTAGATGGAGATGGGGGCATTATGGATAAGTGTTATCTAGCAAGCAAGTTTTTATTCTTGGCACTGTGTTGTTAAATGAACCTTAAAACAAATCAGTAGGGAAGATATGCACAGGATGTGTGACCTTGACCTTGGTCGCAGGGACCTGAATTTTATGCACGGCACTCAGCCTCACAATGATGAACATTTGTGCCAAATTATATTGAAATCCCTCTATGCATGTAGAAGTTTTGCTCCAGACAAGTGTTTTTCTATGAGCTCTGTGACCTTCACCTTTGACCTAGAGACTTGGTTCATGTGCAGGGCACTACGTCTCATGGTGGTGAACAATTCTATAAAGTAACATTAAAATTCCTCCAAGCATGTAGAAAATATGCTCCGGACAACATCTGGATATTTAATCATCTCCAGTGACCTTGACCTTGCAAATATTAACCTAAATGTGTCACACCTGTAGTCATGATAGTTACCATTTGTGCTACAATCCATCAATAAATGATGACTAAATGGTCCCTATACACATCTTCAAATTTTTATCTGAACTTTGACCTCTATGTGTAACCTTGACTTTGGTCGCAGGGATCTGAATTTTGCGTGCGACACTCAGCCTCACAATGGTGAACATTTGTGCCAAGTTATATTGAAATCCCCCTAAGAATGTAGAAGTTTTGCTCCGGACAAGCGTTTTTCAATGAGCTCTAAGTGTGACCTTGACCTTTGACCTGGAGACCTGGATCATGCATGGAGCAATACATATCATGGTGGTGAACATTTCCATAAAGTATTATAAAAATTCTTCCATACATGTAGGAGATATGCTCCAGACAAAATCTGGATATTTCACCATCTTTAGTGACCTTGACCTTGCATATATTGACCTAAAGTACATGTGTCACAGCCGTAGTCATGATAATGACCATTTGTGTTACAATCCCTCAATAAATGATGATTAAATCGTCCCTATACACATCTTCATATTTTTATCTAAACTTTGACCTCTATGTGTGACCTTGACCTTGGCTGCAGGGACCTGAATTTTATGCGCGACACTCCGCCTCACAATGGTGAACATTTGTGCCAAGTTATATTGAAATCCCTCTATGCATGTGGAAGTTTTGCTCCGGACAAGCGTTTTTCAATGAGCTCTAAGTGTGACCTTGACCTTTGACCTAGAGACCTAGTTCATGTGCGTGACATGGCTTCTCATAATGGTGAACATTTCTATGAAATTTCATTAAAATCCCTCCATGCGTGTAGGAGATATGCTCTGGACAAAATCTGGATATTTCATCATCTTTAGTGACCTTGACCTTGTATATATTGACCTAAATTATATGTATCACAGCCATATTCTTGAAAATGACCATTTGTGTTACAATCCCTCAATAAATGATGACTAAATGGTCCATATACACATCTTCATATTTTTATCTGAACTTTGACCTCTATGTGTGACCTTGACCTTGGCCGCAAGGACCTGAATCTTGCGCGCGACACTCCGCCTCACAATGGTGAACATTTGTGCCAAGTAATATTGAAATCCCTCTATACATGTGGAAGTTTTGCTCCGGACAAGCATTTTTCAATGAGCTCTAAGTGTGACCTTGACCTTTGACCTAGAGACCTGGTTCATGTGCGCGACACTGCTCCTCATAGTGGTGAACATTTCTATGAAGTTTCATTAAAATCCCTCCATACATGTAGGAGATATGCTCCGGACAAAATTGGACGCCACCCGCCCGCCCGACCGACCGCCCGCCCGCCAGGGGCTTTCCCATAATACGTCCCGTTTTTCAAACGGGCGTATCATAAAAAATTCAATGTTCCAGTCCTTCTATTCTGAGAAAAGATGCTTAAAATGAGTGCCTTTCTGGGAGAACTGCTTTTTTAAACAGGTAAATAAGGAAAATTTAAACTGGAGCAAAGAATTTTCTTATACTTTGCATCATTAAAAAGAATCGTAATTGAAACAAACTGATGAGAAAAATTGGGTGGGGGTGGGGGTCACCATCCTATTTTATCTGTACCTGAGTGAAAGTGTGTTTTTGCTCTTTTTATCAAGACACAACAATTTTCATACAATTCTTGCCTAGTTTCCTAGAACTTACCCTAAACACACTTTCCCATGAGAAAATCTTGCTTGAACTCTTAGACGACAGCTTCTTCTCATGGCTTTTGTCCAGTGCCTTTTTAGTCGCTGAATGGGATAGTACATTTTTCAGCTTCACAGCAGCTTTCTATAAATAAGAATGTTCTTTAAAATAGAGAAAACAAGAATCCCTAAAGATTAAGCCCAACATGGAAAAAAATGAAAATGTTTCAGGCTTGGGGTTTGTTGAGCCTGTTCATGGATGGTACCGTAAAGTACAAACTTCTGTCCACGCCCCCTAGCACTGGCTTATATTAAGCAGAATTCAACATTTAAATGTAATAAGACACAATACCTAGATAGGTAAGTTTACATGCTTTAGCAAACAATTCTTATGTTTTCAATAGATCTGTCACAGGGTGAGAAAAATGTGCAGCCTGACCGGGACTCGAACCCGGGACCCTCGGAATACCGTACCGCGGCTCTACCGACTGAGCTATCCGGCCGCTTACACATCTTCTCCCCTAAATAGTGAACAGTTCTGAACCGTGACATACTCCCCTGCTATATTGAAATTCGTCCTCGAATTTCACAGAGTTACAGAGCAATGTAAATTAAACTCTGAGCTATATCAGTCACGGCCCCACGTTGGGCGCCAAATGTCACAGGGTGAGAAAAATGTGCAGCCTGACCGGGACTCGAACCCGGGACCCTCGGAATACCGTACCGCGGCTCTACCGACTGAGCTATCCGGCCGCTTACACATCTTCTCCCCTAAATAGTGAACAGTTCTGAACCGTGACAGATCTCAGGAGTTATATATTATGAGTTTCATGTAAAAAACTTGTCTATGTACAGGAGAGCTGTCAATGATTCAATAATTTTGATATTAAATGATAAATATTAATGATATATGAAGTATTATTTATCTTATTATTTCATTTTCTCATTTAAATGTTGAATACTACTTAAGCCAGGTGGGTTAGAAAGTGTGGACAGTAGTTTGCAATTTATAGTATCATCCATGAACAGGCACAATAAAGCTAAAGCTGCAACATTTTCAAATGCCGTTTTGGGCATTCTTTAGGCATTCCTTTTATCTCTATCTCATTAAAATACATGGTCTGTGCATAAAAATATGTACTGTTTAAAAATGCCCCCATCATGTGCATTGCTGACCATATTTTTTCATCCAATACGAATTTTATAAACATGGGTATAAGTCGAAAATTTGGAAAAACCTTAAAAACTGTAATTCAAAATCATTTTCCTACATAATCTAATAGTAAAACATGATCAAATTTGTCACAAAAAAAACCTGAGCTTCAGGCATATGCCTAAAAACTTGCACCCATGTATAAAGACAATTGAACTTGTCCAATAAGTAATTACAGTATAGTTTAAGATCGGTCCATTTGACAGGGTATCTGCTTCTATTTATGTTTTGAGTGACTTTTTTTCGTCCTTTCTAGACATTTTATCAAATCAGTCAAATTTATTGATTTTTTCTGTATTGATTTTGTATTGTTAATCTATCTACTGAATAATATCAGTAATGATTGTTTTAATAGTTGACAGCTGTAATGTACAGCAGGATGAACAGACACATATACAAGGGCAAACTTGAAACAAATATAACCCTAAAGTGGTGGAGGCAATAAAAAGGCAACTTGGAAATATAACCAAGTGCTTTTACTTATTCTTAAAACACAAATTTATGGTATAATGTACTCTGACTACTCACCCTACGTTCTGGACCTCGTTCAGAATTCAAATCACGACATATGTTATAAACATCTGAAATCTGCCTGTCCATCGTTTTATAGCCTGAAATTAGTAGACATAGTTGAGTCAATTTAAATTTGTGTGTGTTTGGTTTACCTACCCTCCCTAACCGAATAAACCATATTGGCGACCATCAATTTGAATGTATTTCAAGGTATTAATAATAATAATATCAAAGAAAGACTTTGCATTCAATATAACGCTAATGAACCTTTTTCTCATGCAAAACATCTGCTGAAGCATGAGGATGCCTTTAAACCTGAAGCCCACAATGTGAGGGATTTAATAAGTTTGAGGCGCATAAGCGCTCTTCTTGCTTAAACAAGAGGCTTAGAGCAATATCAGTGATGACATGTTTCACCTGATGATAGCTTAATTTATCATGTCATTACATTGATTTCTGATGATAAAGTGCATGCCTGATAAACCTAGCTTTATCAGTCACCCCAAGCTTTATCAGACACCTTATCAAAAATATGCGAAATTTGCGAAATGAAATAAAAGAATGGAATATATTTTCCTGCTACTGAGTTGGAAATATTTAACTGATAAACTTTGAATCGAATAGAAATTTTGAATATGAACGCGTCACTTACAATTAACTAAAACATTCGGGACTATTTCTTTTTGATTTGACATTTCACATATTATTGCGCGCCGTCTGAACACGAGAGGTTCTGGATAGGGTTTTGCTTCAATTAAAATAAAAACAAATCAATCAACAATTGAAATTGAAAACATGATAAATAGAATACCAAACAAGTGTCTAATATTATAAAAATTATCAGGCTCGGCACGAAAAAAAATGAAGAGCTCGGCACAGCCTCGCCCTTCTTTTTTTTTCTTAGCCTTGCCTGATAAATTTTATAATATCAGACACTAGCATGGTATTCTCTATTTAGCAGTTGTATAGAGGGATGATTGGACAGTTTGATGCCTTATAATGTGTTGCAACTACTTTGTAGCATGAGACACAAAAATCATTAACATGCCAAAATGCTTGTTTTTGATTCAAGCTCCATAACTCAGCCAAACAAGAGCCCGGTTTGAGCCGGGTGATGCTCCCCAAATAGGTTTTGGACACAGGAAAGTACACCTCTTGTAGTTTCAGAGTTATGTCCCTGGAAAAAGTTCAAAGTGCAATAATTCAAAAATTAGGCAAGGCAGAGTTACCATTCTTTGCACTGCACTTCTAATCAATGTGATCTATTAACCTACAAAGTTTCTTGATGATATTTCTTATGATTTCCGAGTTATGTTCCTGACAACTTCAAAAAGTAAAACTAAACAAAGGGCAATAACTCCAGAATTAGGCAAGGCAGAGTTATGATTCTTGTGCACTGCACATCTACCCATTGAGATATATCTACCTACAAAGTTTCATGTTGATATCTCTTATAGTTTTACAGCTATGTCCTGGACAAGATTTTTCTAAAAGGGGAGATAATTCAAAAATGAGGCTTAACAGAGTTATGGTTCTTTTGCACTGCACCTCTACTCAATGAGATCTATCTACCTACAATGTTTCATCTTGATATCTCTTATAGTTTTAGAGTTATGTTCCGGACAAAGTTCAAAGTGTTAAAATTAACAAAGGGCAATAACTCCAAAACAAGGACAAAAAGAGTTATTGTTCTTATGCACTGCACATCTATCCATTGAGATCTATTCACCCACAAAGTTTCATGTTGATATCTCTTATAGTTTTAGAGTTATGCCCCGGACAAGATTTTTCTATAAGGGGAGATAATTCAAAAACCAGGCAAAATAGAGTTATGGTTCTTTGACACTGCACTCCCCTACAATGCCCTCTACCACTGTATGAAGTTTCAACAAATTATCTCCAAGGGTTTTCAAGTTATGCTCCGGACAAGACAACGGACGGACGGACAGAAGGACAGACGGACAAGGCGCCGACTATATGCTCCCCCGAAATTTTTCGGGGAGCATAAAAACATTCAACCAAAAAATCCATTTAATATGTGAAAGTACTCAAGGTACTAATAAATCCTGTAAAATTTCACTAAAATGCATTTATTGCAGTATAGGAGATGTTGTGCAAACTATGTTTGATTTGGAAAATTTGTGTCTCGTAATTTGTGCTGACAAAACTTTAAAAATATAAAAATAAAGGGTCATAACTTGAAGAGAAATCATTGAACAGGAACATGCTGACTCTATGCACAACTAAACTTGGTACTGATCATTCCCGTAAAGTATGGATGAAATTGCACCAGAAGTTTATGAGGAGCAGTCCAGACATTCCTGTGAAGTTTGGTTGAAATTGCACTGGTAGTTTTTGAGTAGTCCTGATAACTTTTTCATTCTGATAAGTTTGTCCTCTATGAGCTGATGTGATTTATCATTGATCTAATCTCAAAAACCCTATAAGCAACCTTTTCCCTACAAGTATAAGACTTTATGTAATGAGCAGGGATATTCATCCCCAGTGATTTTTTTCACTTAATTGGGAAGAGGCCTGAGCCTCTTGATTTCAGGAACAAGAACTGTCGGAGGACAGTAACGCTCGACTATTCGAAAATTTGTCACAAGGGTGTTTCATTGAGTATAATAATGCTTACCTATATGAATACATAAAATTGTCCGAAAAGGTACAAACTCTTCAAGTTTCAATACATTCCCTTCAGTAGTTATGGAGAGACAAGCTTACATGCAAAAACTTAACCAAGAATTCATGAGTCGAAAAAGGGGCATAATTATGCAAAAAAGCAAATCAGAGTTATGGGACTTGTACCAATCATCTTAGATAATCACAGAGACCAAGTGTGTGAAGTTTCAATCCATTCCCTTCAGTAGTTATGGAGATACCAGCTTACACGCAAAAACTTAACCAAGAATTTCTAAGTCGAAAAAGGGGCATAATTATGTTAAAAAGCAAATCAGAGTTATGGGACTTGTGCCAATCATCTTAGATAATCACAGAGAACAAGTGTGTGAAGTTTCAATCCATTCCCTTCAGTAGTTATGGAGATACCAGCTTACACGCAAAAACTTAACCAAGAATTTCTAATTCGAAAAAGGGGCATAATTATGTAAAAAAGCAAATCAGAGTTATGGGACTTGTGCCAATCATCTTAGATAATCACAGAGAACAAGTGTGTGAAGTTTCAATCCATTCCCTTCAGTAGTTATGGAGATAACAGCTTACATACAAAAACTTAACCAAGAATTTCTAAGTCGAAAAAGGGGCATAATATCATGAAAAAAGCAAATCAGAGTTTATGGGACTTGTGCCAATCATCTTAGATAATAACAGAGAACAAAGTGTGTGAAGTTTCAATCCATTCCCTTCAGTAGTTATGGAGATACCAGCTTACATACAAAAACTTAACCAAGAATTTCTAAGTCGAAAAAGGGGCCATAATTATAAAAAAAGCAAATCAGAGTTATGGACTTGTGCCAATCATCTTAGATAATCACAGAGAACAAGTGTGTGAAGTTTCAATCCATTCCCTTCAGTAGTTATGGAGATACCAGCTTACATACAAAAACTTAACCAAGAATTTCTAAGTCGAAAAAAAGGGGCATAATTATGAAAAAAAGCAAATCAGAGTTATGGGACTTGTGCCAATCATCTTAGATAATCACAGAGAACAAGTGTGTGAAGTTTCAATCCATTCCCTTCAGTAGTTATGGAGATACCAGCTTACATACAAAAACTTAACCACAGGGACGCCGACGCCGACGCCGACAAATGGGTGACTGCATTAGCTCGATTATTCTGCGAATAGTCGAGCTAAAAATTATCGCTAAAATTGCTGATTTTGGAAGTGAAAAAGCTGATTTAAGTTCAAATTTATGGGAAAACTGCATGATTTTAAAGAAAATTTCAATTGGGAAGAGGCCTTTTTTCGGAGTCTGTTATATAAGTAGGAAAATCACTGATACCATTATGTCACTCAAATTTGTACAGACATAGTAACATATGGATACCAACGTTATTTTTGCTTCTTTTCTATTAGGTCTAATGATAATTGTGTGTACAGTTTTTTGTCACTTTTCAAAAACGATTTAGTTCATATCTGTCTGTGAAATACATGTTTTATAATCCTAATTAACCATCTAACTTTAACTTACAAAACTAACCCTTACCCATAACACTTACTTACATAGATGGCGCGATAGTTCAGTTGGGTTAGACCACTTGACTGTCACTCCTGAGGTCTCGGGTTCGATTCTGGTAACATCCTTAGGATTTTTCAGAGGGACACTTTCAGTATTTCCCACCTACCTAGAGGTGTACTGGTAGGACAGGTAATCCTCGCATATATATATATATCACTGGGCATGTAAAAGAACCAAAGGGCAGTGATTTTTTTCACTTGTATTTACAGCCGAATTAGGCTGTTTGAACTTTCCCCTCGCCCAAAAAAGGTAAAATTTCCCCTAAAATGCTTTATATTTTCCCCTAAAATGCCTTGTGCTCTTCCTTACCTGAATCATGACTTATTAATTAAAACAGCATCTGTCTAATATCAGGTAGAAGTTAGAAATCTGTCCCTAAAGATAGCCTCTGCTATGTACCATGCATGTTAAATTGAATTGAAATTGAAAAATTTTATATAAAATGTGTGGGTAAATTACATTTCAGTTGTTGAAATATGATTTCAGGTTTTCCCCGTTTTCTGATTTATCGTGCTGTATTTCCCCCTTTAGAAAAAACCACAGGTTGTTTTGAAAATTGGAAAAAAAATCACTGAAGGGATATATTCACAGTGTTTTTTTTTTCCTTATATAACTGATACCGAAAACGGCCACCGTTCCCAAAGAAAATAGACAACAAATTTTCCCAATTCATGACTGATAAATTCCCAAAATAACACAAAATTTCCTCAAAAATCGGCAAATTTAAAGGTAAACAAAAAACAGAAATGCCATCAGTGATTTTCCTACTTATATACAGACTCCGAAAAAAAAGGCCTCTTCCCAATTGAAATTTTCTTTTAAAATCATGCAGTTTTCCCAAAAATCTGAACTTAAACCAGCGTTTTTACGTCCCAAATCAGCAAATTTTAGTGGTATTTTTTTTCCAAAATCAAGAGGCTAAGCCTCTTCCCAATTAAAGTGAGAAAAATCACTGGCCATTGA